TTCAGGTATGTATGTATAGATGGTCATTGTGGTGGATGCGGGCGGTTAGAGGAGTAGAGCAATGTGACAAGTGGAGATGCAAAAGCCAGGGTACTTGCAGAGATGGATGCAGGATATTGAATCGCTACTGCAGACGATATGTGTGCGATAGATGTGAAACGACAGAAAGGCAGCCAGTCAGTTGGAGGCAAGGTGCTGTGGGCTGGTATAGGCTGACATAGGCTGGCGGCAAAAGAAGGCTGGAGATGAGCAGGAAGGGAGCTCACCAATAGAGGGCCATCTATGAAAAGTACGCGCTGGAGCCGTCCCGGTCAGGGTAAGGCCGCCCCCACTATCCCGCAGCCTGCTCCTGCCAATGGGAACACATAACAGGGTGATGGAGGAGGAAAGAGCGGAGCCCTGAGCGGGGCCCAACCACATCCTGCTGCTTGACCACCCCCCGCATTGTAGCCAATCACTGTAGTCACTTTCTACGTTCCAAAAATACCTTTCCACTTATCCTCCGATGTTTTCGAGCTAGATTTTAGCCATCTTCCCTTCTCGGGTATAGCCTCCACATAGTCTGTTCCCTGGAATAGTATCTGGCGGTTCTCACTCGCTATGGTTCTCCTGGCTCGAGCCGTTTTCCTACCGAAGATCCCCTAGGCTCTTCCCTTTTCGTGCCTTTTCCTCTACGTGCCGTACCGCTAAACTCCCCTTTTGCTAAATTTCCCACTCGTCGTCCTACATTTTCCCAACCTCCTCACCGTTTCACCCCCTCCCTCCAGGAATCCAATTTTCTAATTGGTCGCACATTTAAGAAAATATCCTTGGCCTCCGTTTGGCCTCAATAAACTTCGGAAGCTCTCCTGCCCTGCTGATCTCTCGGCAACGTTTTTTGAGCTAACGATGAACCAAGCAGTCGTCTCCTCAGTGCGAGTCACAAGATAGTATCATTCCCCAAGGATCTACCTAGTCTCTGCACCCAGTATGTAGCACATTTTCGCCGCGTACCCCGCACGTGTCGGGTTTCTGGAAGAGCAATCCTCTATCTGATGACATTCTAACGAGCACGGCATTCACCATCGATCTTTCGTCCATCCAAGTTGATTCGAGAGCCCGATTGAAAAGACCCTGGGGATGCTTTGGATCTAGGTATTGGACCCTTTACATCTGGACTGGCCACTTGGATTTGTGTTCCTACCCCTCCTGCCCTCTTAGAATCTGAGAGGGGTTCGATAGAAGACAGACTTTCCACTGATAGAGCGCACGGACGGGCGAAGGCGGCCCTTGCCGTGATAAGAGGTCTTCCCGTCAACTCATCGGCAGATTGGCGGAATTACTAGAGCCAAACTGCGACTGGGGTGGAGACGGTTTCCCATCAGGTGCCACTTTAGGGAGCCTCTGCCGTGGCTCCCGCACCTTCTCACAATCCGCAAGAGGAATGTTTTCTCGCTAAAGTGTCAATTATTGATCTCAATAGCTCGACTGTGATATTAATTTCTAAGCGCATCTGCAAGCAACACTTTTAAAAAAAGATTTTGTACTGTACTTAATCCACCATCCCTGGGGGGGGGGGGTTGGACTACCTCCCACGAAAGTGCGAGAACAAGTTGCGCACGATGTTGACGAAAATCTCCAAAAGATTCTTCACGCACGTGCCGACTAGGGCGAATGATCACCGTCCTCATGGCGGCGTACCGCTCCGCACATGGCAGCCACAACCTGACAGCGGTGAGCCCACCGCTACTTGCCAACAATATGGCACAAGGACACAAGTAATCTCGCCGTGGTACACTTCTGGTAGTAGGACGACATTACAAGGTACCTAAGGTACACCCGGGAGCTCGAGGACCGGGAACTTGCCTTGAAAGTCGTCACTGGGTCACTCGGCATCCGGCATGAACAAGCTTGCCTCCCAACAAGTGAGTCGACGCTTTCTGCAACAGATCTTCTGCAAAAAGCCTAGCCAGAACTGCAAGTTAAGCTCCAACGAGGATAAAAAGATCCTTTAGGCGTGGTGGTGGCATAGAGCCGAGCTTTCTCCCTCGGCGACTTGCAGCTTCGCTTGTGTTCTTGTAGAATGCTGATTGCTACTCCGCTGAATCCATTTACCGAGGTGTAATGGTGGACCTAGATCTCAAAGGTTGTTGGATGAAATTCGACCACTCTAGACCAGCAACCGTTGCCCAGGCTTGTGTTCTTGGCAATTCAGTGTATGGGTTCTGGTTGCTCGATGGATTCAAAAGGGCCATGGAGGGTTGCGGGTAGTGGTGATGAAGATGGATCTTTGTGCATGGAAGGGAGCTTCTCCAGATCCTCCACATGAATGGAGGGGCATGGAGGAGTGCCATCGTGGTATTGAAGTAGCACAAGAACGGTTGTTGCATTCTGTGCGTGTAGCCATGTCGCACGCAGCTGTGCTTTACGCTCCAAGTTGAATAGTTGCATATAAGCATGGAAATGTGAGGAAGAACAATGACAACACGCAAATGCGAGACGAGGGCAGCCTTCCTAAACCCCTCTCTATCTGTGGTGTCACGGCGTAAAATGCAATTGAATTGTTTCTCTCAAAGGTACATAGTATCTCCCAAACTAAAACCCAACTGCTGTCCTCAGAATAGAAGCAGCAGCAACTCCTGAAGGGAGATACCCATGAACGCCATCTCCGACAGCTCTACTTAATTCCGATGAGTTGCGTGCCCTCGTTGATCGCAAACAATCACGATCGCTTCGAGCAAGGCATGGAAACAATGAGATGCATGGAAGTTCTAAAAATAAGAGCATCATGACGAAGGTACAGTAACTTGTACCTCCCTATAGTATGCAATGAGAGAGAAGCGAGGGGAGATTGGGGGGGAGAGGAGGACAGACGAGGCCAAGCTCGAACAGATTATCAGACTGCCACAAGCGAATCGAGTCATCGAGCATTATACTATAGGCTGGCCCAAGCTCCCGAGAAAATTCGCAAGAGCTTGCAGGAAGACCAAGCTCCTAGTGTGACTGCACACCTGTGAGAACTGCAGACCGTTCGTGCATGCGGACCATTGACCAGTTCCTGGCAGTTGTTTCCCCCACCGCGCCCACTAGAGACCCACTCCACTAACACGGAGGCTAATGCGAGGCTAATGCACGAGAGTTGTCTTGGCATCACGGTTGGCTCCCGTCGCTCCCGCGATTTTCAACACCCAGATTGAACTTCACCCCAGCAAGGCAGGTTCTCTTCCACCCAGGATAGCTTCGGCACTAGCCCCCAGCCTTCGACCTTGATTCGGCCACCCACATCCAATCAGTGGCATTTTTCCAGCTTTTTCTGCACACCATCGGCTTTTTTTTTTTGAAGCCTTTCTCTCACCTGATCAGGCCAGACTGCCCTCTCTGCCCGGCTGACCCCCCTCTCGAACTTCAATCGGTGCTGGGCTGCCCTGAAGATCAAAGCCGACCATGCAAGATCAACGTGCTACTGAAACAACTACGGGCACACCTTGGGACCCTGCAACCGTGTACAGAAGGCGGCCCAAATTTTTCGAGACTGTGGTACAATGGCAACGTTGCGGAAAAAGACAAGTAGTGCATGCGGCAAAAGAAGAATTTTCCTGCCATCAACGTTTCTTGCAGGTGTGAGCCAGGGCGTTGTCACATCGAGGTCCATTTCGGAAACTTCTGCAAGCACTGTGTTGACCAGTGAAGCGTTAGCACTGCACCTATCCGTGTGGCCTTCGGCCGACATGATGTGTGCAACTACTCGCTCGTGGGTCATTCCCCCAATTTTCTCATATCCGGGATTTCAGCAAAGTGTTGGCCCAAGAAGCCCAGTGTCCCGATTGCATGGCCAGCCGCATAGCAGCGTCATTACGTTGGTCGTGTTCACAGCTTTGGTGACGACTTCTCGTGGTTCACCCTAGAAGTTGGTAGCTTCCGGGTACAAGCAGTGTGCGCCTTATCCCACCAAGCTCAGATGTATCTCGCCTGTGCAGTTCCGCATGACCCCATTGTGAGCGGATCTAGGCCATTTCACGTACCTAAGACTCGACGGTTTGATGCCCTTTCCTGACTCAGTCGGCCGCTTCCTCGATTAGCAGAAGAGATAGCCGGTGCTCTCAGTGGCTCGATTGTCCTTCGGGGTTGGCATTCGACCGCCCAAGGGCAGCCATGAGCCCGCTGGTTCTACCGATTAGGTACAGATTGGGCATTGAAAAATGGGTCTACTTAGGGTCTGACCAGGGGGTGTGGATGAGCCTGGGGGTCCTGAAGCAGGCCTGGACCCGGAGGCGCTAACTGACTTGTTCGTGGGGACTCGTCGAAGCTCTCGAGGTCTAATCTTAGCTTCGAAGCGCCCTCCACCTCCCACCAGCCAATGAGTGTCGATAGCTCCCACACTTCATGCTGATTCCTCATGCCTGCTGGAGACTATCGAGGGACCGAATCAACCGAGTATTGTTGACCTACCTCGACAACGACCCATTCGACCAACTCTTTCATTGCTCAATCAATGTGTTTCCCCTCCTCCGCCATCCCAACCACCAATACTGGATGGGCGTCTCCAGGCGCAGACGCGATATTCATAGATACACCTCCTCCAACATGTGCCGCCCCTCTCTCTCATTCGTCCTCCATGCAGACAGTTGTTTCTTACAACCGGATCCTATCCTCGACCTACTCGGAGCCTCATCGTACTTGCATGTTCCTCGCCTCTTCGATCCAAATATAGCTCTCTCCACCTTTTGCGAGCTCTTCGAAGTCTCTCATATACGCCATCCTCGGCCAATGTCGCCGTGACTTCCTTCAAGGCAGACCGTTGCCCTCGCTGTTGTCCCTTCACCTCGTCGACAAACCCCCCTTCGACCTGCGGATACTGCTGGACAGTGTTCGCGACCATTCCCTCGTAATAGTTAACAGCAGCGCGGTTCTACGGATCCCATCCTGTCATTGTCGACCTTGATATCTGTGTCTTGTCGTTGTTTTTGTGCGCCGAACCGAATAACGTACACCCACACATCCCGTGCCCAGTACCATCGTCAATGGCCTCTGGAAACGAGAAGAAGGCTGCGCCTGCGACGAAGGACTCGCCCTCTACAAAATCTTCCAAGATGCATAGACGATCGAGGTCAGGTGAGCAGTGTTATACACCGCAAAGTCACTTTTTGGGAGGATGAATGCTGATACTGACTCCAGGTTGCTTCACATGTCGTCTGAGACGCAAGAAGTGTGATGAAGGAAAGCCAAAGTGCAAGGCATGTAGAAACTTGGGCCTTGACTGCGAGTACAAGCGGCCCCATTGGTGGAGCAACAATGAGACTCGCAGGAAGCAAAAAGAGCACATCAAAACAATCATCAAAAGAACAAAGACAACCGAGAAGAGTGCGAGTACTCAAAGTCAATGTACTACATACCACGGGACCCATGGGGAGCCCCTTGAAGCTCTAGCTGATCCATGCGCAGATGCTCTGAACAATGCCGCTCAATCTTACTCAGAAGATTCCCAAGACGAATACGACCCTACCTTTGACCCATCCTTTGCGACCACTCCAAGCCTCTTCGACCCTTATGGTCCCAACATCTACATGCCTCCCGACCCATATGGGCAAGCAATCCCCTGGGAGGTGGACGTCAAGACGGAGCGCCACACCTATGTCAATGACGAGCTCACTCGCCGAGACTCGTCGATATCAACCTTTAGCACCTTCTACCCTCCCCCTGCGCATGCGACTTTGCCGTCTTATACCGGAGACGACTGGGTACAGCAAGACATCTTTGAGAGCCGACAGGACTCTTGGACCGAGGGCGATTTCGACTTCAACAGCTTTGACATGCCCCACGTTGCGCATCAATTCGAACCTCAATGCTCCATGGTTCAACTCGAAGATTGCGATCGGCCACTCTTCGAACACTTGCTCCAAAACGTCCTGCCGCTGCTGTTTCCCGTTCTCGAAGCCTACCAACACGGCTCGGTCCGCTCGAATGTAATACTGCCTTCTCTGGAAAACAACAAGGCATATCTACATTCCTGCCTTCTAGCCGCCGCTACTCACATGAAGGGCAACAGGCAGTTCTCGAGCGTCACGGCGGATGACGACGCGATGCGCCACAAGCTTGCCTTTGTGACGATAGTCGTCGATGCTCTCAATAGTGACAGTCAGCACAGCGAAATGCTCGATGCTCTACTCGGGATGATTTCGATGCAGGGCTGTGTCGGCTCAGCCCTGGAGCTAGAAAAGGAATTGATTCCCTGGCACCAGCATTTCCAGGCCGCCGCAGACATTGTGCAGAAGCTCAACCTTCCGCAGAGCTTGGAGAGCAACGCCCAGACGGGAGGCCATCCACCGTTCAACATGAGTCTAACCGCGTGGATCGACATCCTCGGTGCAACGATGCTCGGCAAGGCGCCCCGATTCTCCCATACCTACAGGAACATGTTCTTCGCCGGCGCGTCGACGGGACTGGAGAAATTGATGGGCTGCAACGACTACGTCATGTACCTCCTGTCGGAAGTTGCTTGTCTCGACTCGCTCAAGATTGAAGGCAAATTGGACGACTACGGAATGTGCAGCCACATAACCTCGCTGGCCGGAGCTCTGGACACGATCGAACCGCAGGAAGTCTTGCAGCTCCCTTTCAACAAGGCCGGCGTCCTTCGACCGAAGCAGCTGACTAAGAACATCACCGCTATTTTCCGCAAAGCTGCCCGCGTCTACCTGTGCTCGCTTGTCCCCGAATATAACCGCTACCAGACCGCCACCGTCAACCTGATCTCGCAAATGACCGACCTTCTCCAGTATATCCCCCCTGGTCCCACCGGATTCGACCGATGCCTTGTCTGGCCCATGCTCATCTGCGGCGTGAACTCGATCCCGGCCTCTACATTCCGCCGCGTCCTCTCACAGCGATGTGACCTGCTCGGTGAAGCTGCCGACCACGGATCTTTTGGACGAATGGTGCGCCTGTTGCATGAAGTCTGGAGACGCAACGACGACGTGGTAGTTTCTGCTGGAGTCTGTGAAGCCACTCCTGTGACGGCAGGGAGCCCTGGAGGATCGATCTCGACGCCAATTGCCGCAGCCGCCGCAGCCACCGGAGCCGGAAACTCAGCAGGGGCCCCTTCTTCTTCTTCTTCTTCGACGACGACGACAACAACGACAGTACCGAGGAACCAGAGCGTCCACTGGCGGGACGTGATGCAGGAAAACAAATGGGATTTCCTTCTGATATGAAACGGCACCCTTCTCTCTTCGATCAAAATCCATTTTAAAAAAGAGGTATTTGCAACTCTTGATGGTGCAGGGCCTCCGCTTGGTCTTGATGACCGGGCCACCCCCTGCCGAGATGCAAAATACTCTTGGACACGGGCTACGAGAGAGAGGCCGTTCGTATCAGGGGGAAGAACGACGTTCGTTGCAAAACCACCACCACAATCCAACTTGACGTTAATTGTCCTTTATCAAGCGACAACTAATTTCTTCCACTCATTTTTTCAACAACGACGACGACCACACCCCCATTTCTCTCTTTCTTTTTGGAAAAGAAAAAGAAGAAACTCACTCCATGTAATCTTTTCTGGCAAAGGATTAATATGTCCCATACTGCATCCTGGTCTGGAAACCAAGAAATACCCAACTCCACAAAAGTTATTTGTATTTCCTCGGGCAACCAACTACTACAACGACGACGACGACGACGACGAAGAAGAAGGAGAAGAGGAAGAAGAAAAGAATTAAGGTGGCGTTCCCCCCCCCTCTGGACCTCAAACTGGTTTTTTTCTGGCTCCAGACATGAGCGCCGGCGCAGGGGCGCAAGGTTTACACGCATACGCGGGCAGGCAAGACCCGCAATCTTACCACAATCTAACAGCAGATCTAACGACCAGGGACTATATTGCAGGACAGATCCTTCTTTCCCCTTTTTCAGGATGAGTGAGGGGTCCTAACTTCGTCATCCTAGACAGGGAAGGGGAGAGAAGGCAGGGAAAAAAAGGGGATATCATTTTTTGTTCTGTTTGTCTTTCCTTGACATTAGCTTATACTTAGTTTTACTTACTCACTGGCTTATGATACCCCCTCCATTGCGTGGAGTCCCACAAAGCCCTCCACCCCTTACATATATTTCCGACGAATCTCCTTTTCCACATCTCTGAAGTTTTGGGGAGAGCTTTTCGGTTCTTTTTGGAGGCTTTGGCGCCACGGTCACGCACGGATGGGAGTTTGACAGGGGAGGAGGAAGGAAAGGCTGGTTCATGGGAGGGTTGGGATGGTATCGCTTTGACCTCACATTGCACATATCTGGATTTTCTGCATTGGTTTTCGCGCACAACGAAGAGGTTGGGAGGATGAACGGGCAGCAGCAGCTGTGGCAGCAGGAACCCAAGTCAGGGAACTGGACTGATCGATAGGGGGGTTGCTTGTAAGGAGTGCCGCTCTCCCTTCCCTCCTTTCTCTATCCCTCGCCCTGTGTGAGGGCCCCTAGTCATTGCCGTTGTGACGGCAAGCATCAAAACCAGGTCACATCATACGTCGAGCTATATGGATGTCTAGCTAGGCGAGGAAGGGGCCGACGGAATCCGAACCACGAAAATATCAAGACCGAAATAAAAAAACAAACGGAGATGCAGCTACCATCAGAGCAAGACGCAATGAACGAGACAAACCCAACGCCTGGATGATAGTCCATGCCACAGAGAGGGGTTGAGAGGGGGAGAGCGGCCAGGAGTAGAACACAAGACGCATTCTGCGCACGAAAGACACGCATAATGAAGCAAGCAATCCGAGAGAAAATTTTGATGCACGCACTTAAGAGAGACGAGTGCGGTATCGATGCGAGGACAGACGGAATAGGCACGCAGCAATCTGGAGGAAAACCCTCCTCTCCAACAACCCCCTTCCCTCTGGGGAAATGACAAGGAAGAACTGCCTGGGGCGATGAGGTTTTGACGCGCGAAAAGACCAAAGAGAGAGAAGGCTGGTGAGAACGAGACATTCTGGGCGTTCTGTTTGCATGCATGCATGAATGGATGAATGGAGATAGACGGATTTTGATCACACATGAAAGATTCGGCGATGTCAAAAGACGCGAGAGGGGAGAGGAGGGGAGAGAGAGAAAACCAAGACGAAAAAAAAGGTTAAAGTTCCATTCCGTCCCTTTTCCTGTTCCTTTTCTTTTCCCTTTTCTTTCCCTTTCCCGTTCCTTATTTTTTCTTGAACCATGAGGGCGAAAGGGGAGTCGCGCACGGCGATATTGAGGCAAGGCAAATGTGAGGTTATGGAGAATTGAGGCAGCCACTGAGCCCAGTCGCTGACCCACAGCACTCTCCCCCTCGTTGCCATAGTGGTTTCGATCCAAGGTACGAGCTGGAGTCCTGTAGAATCAGCCCCTCAGGTACTAGGGATGTTAAGGTCGTGGTTCCCTGTTCGAAGATTGCGTCATTGTGTCACTGGAATTGCAGATGCACGATTTTGGCTCCAAAGCCGCTAAATCTCCTTTGGACCTGATCCCGCATCTCGAGGCCGCAATGCTGTCGCCAACATGGCATTTTGGGCACCCAAATTTGGCCCACTCGAGGAATCTCAAGGATTTACCTGGCTTGTAGCGAGTCAACGAACCAGAATCCGGCGAATGTGGGGTGCGACTCACGCTTCCTTGTGCAGGGTTCACAGGGTTCTCGCTCGCGATTGGCCCTTGGGGTTTCAATGTGAGTCCAGCGTCGCGTACCCGAGTCTAGCATCGCGTGCCTGAGACCAGCACCGTATGCTTTGGCAGCACGCCCGCCCCGAAAACCCCGGGTTGCCTGTCCGACACGAGGGGTTTCTAAGAGATTGACTCGCCAGTGCGCGAAAGGTTCGCACAAATGGGTCCTGGAACACCCAGAACCCCATCAGTCATGTCACGTTCGCAAGCGCCTGTGATAAAGCGCCGACACCTGCCGGCCTTGAGCGAAATCGTTGCCCGCCTGCTCTCAGAACCATATGGCAATTTGCTGCCAAAATCCGATCTATGTGAAATCGTAAGGTGATTGAGCCGTCAGCCTGTCCCCACGGGTATCATCAATGCCATGAGAAAATAGACCGGGATCATCAACAGGGTAGCAATCAGACATCCTGCCTGTTGACACAGGTAACGGCAGGCTTGTGGCTGCATGTCAAGTATGTGCACAATCATTAGGCTCGTCCGGTCATGCGCAAAAATAGTAGTGACTGCGTAGCCTATGTGGCTGTTTGGCCTCGGACGTATGTCCCCTTTTCTCTTGTTACCGTAGTACCTTCTAATCTGTTTCTTGTAATTGATCCACCTGTCGCTCGATGCTTTTTCGTGAGTTATGTGGATTCGAGGCTTGCCTGGCACATAACTTATGCAACAAGCTCGGCCAACCATAGCATGGGCCGACTGGACTTCAGGACCTCTGACCAGCTGTGTGAGGAAAAAGGAAAAGCAGGGAATCGCTCAACCACATCCCAACATGAATCCAGGCGCCACTGTTAAATTCGAAGGCGACCAATTTATGGAGAGGCGGGCTCGGTATATAACTTCGAAGTCAGTACCGGTATCTCACACCAGGTATATCTGTTTTTTTCATACTTGCTGCGTGCTTGGATCGGCTCCTTCCCTACCGAGCTTCTCTTCGTTTCCTTCCCCTTGGATTTTTCAGGTACGAGTAATGTGGTGTAGCTTAAAGTTTCCTTGAAGTCTCCTTTGTCATGATGCCTGCAGCTTGATTGAGAAAAGACCGATTCCCTCGTCTCGAGATCATAAACACCAGAGCAGAGGAGGTGGTGACTCTGATCCTTGCCCTCCGGGGTAGCTGCAGGGTACACTTCTCAAGGGGCCTGTTGGGAGCAGAGTCTCCCCGCCCACATGACCGCTGGGACGTGACCTTCAGACTCAGCCTTGTGCCTCACTGCTAAGCGTTTCAGGCCTTTCACAGCTCCCTTGGTAGAGCTGCATCAACGCGAGTTCAGGATGTCCCGTCAAAAGGAACGCTCGATGGTTACCTTTATTTCACCAACGGGCTCGTCGATCGCCTGGCGCAGGCCCACGACCGAAAACCCAGGAGCAGTAGGGACACGAAAGAGAGCCAAATCGCATTTGAAGATCCTAAGGGGAAAGAGAAGAAAGACGAAGCCGTCGTACGCAGACTCGAAGGAGTGATGGACAAACTTACCGATCCAGTGCTCCTGCACGATGCTCAAGAATATCAAAAGGGTAAGTGGCATCGGACGTCGCTGACATCCAGAGGAAACACTCACATTTTGCAGATGTCAAGGACGACACCCTGTCATTCATGCATTAACAGTATCCAACATTGATCCGGGGGGGAAGAGAAAGAGGGCCGGACACGATTGATCATCATTGCCACAACCTTGCTGGGGCAAGGCGGCGGTGTATCGGAAGTCCGCGCGCTCATGGAGGTGCCTTCATCGGCTTTGCTAGGCCATCTATCTAAGCATATCATAGTAGTGTCAGTGAAGAAGAGGAAGTCAAAGGGTGAGACGGATGTAAGGCTTGGAAAGAGTGAGCTAGTGTGATAGGGGAAACGTTCTCGATCGGGTTAACTTCGGTGGCTTTCCATGTATGGAATAGTCGTTCCGGTATCGGAGGATTTGTTTTTCCGGAGATTGAACGTACCTGTTCGAGCTGAACTCGCTGGTACTCACCTTCCTTTAGGGCTTTTATTTAGTGACCTGAACGGTTGCTCCTACCTATCGTAGTGAGGGTCCTTTCCAAAGGCAATTTGAACTCATCTCTATTAGCTATAATCTCTAAGAGAGTCCCCTTCAGCTGCATCCCGCGAGTTAACATCAGCAACGTGGATCACCAAGGCAAATTCAGTCAGATAACTCTCGCCAACCGAGTGCATCTGGGGTAACCAAGCCATGATGCGCTGGCAGACATCGTGCCTCCCGCTCGAACAGCGGACGATAAATGTTTAAAGAGCTCGTGGGGTGAAGTAAGACACACCGGGCTTGATCAGGTCTTTCATTTGGTTGCCCGACGTGGGGGCTTGAGCCTTGCCTCGAAATGTCCCGTTGTTGACGTCGTTGTGCAACCAGATCACACTCCCTACCACTAAGATTTCGTTCCGTCGCAACCATCGATAATATCGCTCAAGGCGTCCTGAACTTGTTTCCAACTAGCCCATGAAAGCTTGCTCGCAACGGAAGATACCTTGCGTCCAACTTTCGCTAGTCGTGTTTGCGTCGCACGAGGGGTGCACGAGGGTCCGTCGCCTGATTGGGCAACGTCGGAAGAAGTCGGCTTGACGATTGCGCCCTGCTTGTTCTCTAACAGCGTGGTCCGGGGTAAATGTCTGGGGGATATCCGGGGTCCCTAGGCTGATGGGATGCCCTTCCCGCTTGTGAGTTCGCTCAAATGTTCACTCAAACGTGTCCCGGCCGGCAGGAAGAGCTCACAATATGTTTCACTAGGATCTGTGGGACTCAGATCGTGGTGATGATGGCACAACAGGAGAACCGATCGGACGGTTTGAAACGCCCAGGATGAGGGCCGGTTGGGTGGAGCTAGGCATTGAATGAGTATCTTTTGCTTCGTGCACGAGTGCAATCAATCCGAGGGAGCATCCTTCTTGAAGAGATGTCTGCTCAGGCTGAATTGGACCTTGTGCATGTCTCGGCTGACTCATCTAATGAACCACTGCCGCCCTCCAAGTGCCCAGCACTACCGCCATGCCCACGTAAGGCCTTGATCAAGATTGCTTTCCGCAGGGCTTGCGCGATGGAACCTCGTAAAGATGTCCTTGTAACGCAGATGTAACATTTTGCCCCGCACGGTGACTACGAACTGTCGCCTGACTTGGACTGAGCTTGCACTGATGTGATGACTTTGTGCATTCCAGACGAATCAGAGTCTGACACAAATGAAGCGATTTGCCAGCCTTCCTCCTGGGCACAAGGCTTTCGCCCACGTAACGCCCACTCAAAGCCCACCTTGCGTGGGGTGAAATCAAATAGGTCACTTGGAAAGACCCTCTGTCCCTTTGCGCAAAGGCACAAACTTCTTGTGCCAATAGATTGCCCTTCTGCATGATTTAAGGCCCTTGAAGAGGATGCGAAAGCTGAGAAGTGTATGGCGGCTGAGGCGAAGCCTACAACACCGGGAAACGTATAAATACCTGGGTGTGAGGGATGGTGTTCCTGGTTTTCAAGAGATTCCGGCATATGTGCCTGACATGAACCACACGTAAGAGACATCTGGGTTCGATACCTAAGTCCAGCACGACGATAATACGTAAATTCGCTATCTTTCGTATTCAAATCATGGCTCAGACACTGAGGCAAGCTGGGAGATGATGGACAGACTCATGCGAGAACTGACAGGATACAGAATCAACCAGATCGACTCGAAAAGCTCCTGTACCGGAAAGGCACGAGAAGGAGGAAACATGGTCGACGTCTTCCTCTACGGAAGCTCCAGCAACGTCATGGACTTCATTTTGGTCGGGCGCAGGTCGACAGTCCAGGCCGTCCTCAGGCAGATCCCCGCCAAGAACAAATTGGGAGATAGTATCGGGCATTGCGACAGCTCAGAAGATACGATGGCGGGGCTGTTGAGATACATGGATGATGTAACGGATGCAAAGATTATTTGGGAGGCGGAGGTATACCGCATGACGCTGGTTGGCTGTGATTAAATACAGTATACAACAGGGCAAGAAGATGAGTGGAGAGGAGAAAGGACAAAGCAGTAGGGGAAAGGTTGAAGCTCAGGAGGAGTAAGGAGCAAGGAGGAAGGAGGAGGGTGAGACTCGACCGCGTGTTAGGAGGTCGCGTGGACGGGGTTGTTGAACCGAGAGTCCTGCAAGGTACCTACTCCGTACCTAGCGAGGCTACAAAGGCGAAAGGGGATAATTCCGCGTGGAGGGAGCGGGTGGCCCGTAACGGCACTCCAGCTACTGGCGAGGCTGACGAGGCTGCTTCTAAGAAGCTGGGCAACACTCTCGATGCGCTGTACCTACACAGTCTTTTTTTTTATCCTTCAGCAACACAGGACAGGATCAAGAGAACTGATGGCAATCTATTTCAAAAGCAAACAATATCTATCTCTATGACTCATCTTCTGTCAATTCTAAATCTATTGGTCTCCCGTCTCTCCCTGCAATCTTCTGCGTGTCCCCCAATCCATTGGATACGATGCAACGCAGGAATCTGCGATGCCTGGTGGTGGCTCACTCTTCAATCCGTCCTTTGCCAAAAATCCATGATCCGGGCGACTATCTGGTCGCCTTTCGTGACTGGGACTTCGTGTCCTGCGTCGAAGACGGCAAATTCTACATTGCCCGAAAGGACTTCGGTTGCATCTTCCTCGACCTCTTTTTGGATGATGATAGGATCGTTGGCACCCAATACAACTAGCACCTTCTTCTGCGTGCCCTTCACTTCGTTCTCGCGGCTCAAATACTCTCCAACGATTCGCCAACGGTCATGCTGATGCCGCACAGGCCCATAACGAATGCTGGACATGAATGCAGCGACGAAGCTGGGGTAGTTGTCCAATTGGTAGATGACGGTCTTTTCAACAGTAACATGAGGACGGATCTTCGAGAGAACGGCTTGAGAATTGGCTTCAAGGTTGACTTCAGCCGCCACTGCCTCTGTTGCGTCAACCATGTTGTCCTTGTCTACTGACTTCTTCAATGGTGTGGCCATTGGCCTTCGCAGCCGCTTTCTGACCAGACGCTGTAACAGCGACTCCGGGATAAGGCCCTCGGAATAGATGATATGACTCGTCCTGCTAATATGATAAGGTCTCAAGATTCCCGCCGGCGCAAATAGGATCAAGCTGTCGATCAAGGTGGGGAAGTAAGATGCGAATGTCGTAGCAATCCCGCCGCCAAGGGAGTAGCCGATCAAAGAGAATTTCCCAGAGTCTTTGCCCGTCCAAGATAATGGAGACGAGGCCAGCACGAGCAGTATTTGAGTCGTGAAGAGGCGAATGTCATGAGGCAGGTCTTCAGGGTTGTCGGAATAACCTCGCCCGAAAAGGTCGAAGAGCATGACACGGCATCCGTTGTCCACTAGGGCGTGGGCAACAGCACCCAGCGCGATTGCAGGAGTGCTGATGCCATGAACCAGAAGGACTTTTCGCCCATCCTCCGGGCCGAACTCGTACACCCTGATCGAGCCGTAAGGCGAATCGACATCGCGTGCCCCAGGGAGCACATCCGGAGGATACGGGATTGATGCAATCTCCTCTGGTGACAGTTTGGGCAGTACGGTGACTCTGGGGGACCGTGCAGTAGAAGCTTTCTTTTTGTTCCAAAGCCCTCCCGCAATAACTCCGACCGAGAAGAGGCAGGTGCCCGCGAGCACGAGCCTCCACTCGAGGGCACCTGGAAGTAAAGATGACCTGGATGTCATTTGGCGATGCGTGACAAGCCCTAGACAGGGACCGGACCGACTTATCTATCCCAAGGAGCGGATGAGAACAACAGTTCGGGCGAAGCTCGATCCTTTATCGAGAACGTGTCCAATTGATGACGAATCCGTGATCTGCCTCGGCTAAGGGCGACGAGGCTGAATGGCCTGATTTGGGCTAGCCCTCATCATCTGTCGAGCCTCGCGGCTCCCAATCCTACAAGGTTTCTCATAGTACGCTATGTACCCAGCTATGCAATTCATCTCGACTCAAGACCGCATTACAGAGTATCCCAAACAGCTGAAGCATGAGCGTCACTTTTTTCCGCCCCATATCGACTTGCAGTGTCGATACATGCAATCCGTTGCTCCAAGCAACAACTCCGGACTTGAGCAAAGCTTTCCTCCTGGATCTGACAGTACCATAACTTGGGGTATCAGTACACATCTTACAAAACGCCATTGCCCTTTTTGTGCTTTGATCCAAACCTCCATCATAGAGAGAAATCCAACGCCTTGCCCCCGGATTTATCCTTTCCCCTGTTTCTCTTTCTCTTTTTCCGCTTCGGCTTTGACTGACTGTCCTCGTCGCTGCTTTCATCTGGATCGGACTCATCGACATCGTCATCGTCATCGGAGGAGGACATGCCGTGCTTCGCCGCAGCACTCCGTCCACCGCCCGGAAGTCCCTTTGCCTCTGTCCACACTTTAACAGTCTGACCCCCGCTAGTAACCATTCGCCCTTCAATATCGAAGCCAACAGCCACAACACCATCGATTTCATCGTGTTTGGCATCCATGTTGGTTAAGACCCCGTTGCGACCGATTCTCATGAATCGAACCCGGCCATCCTCAAGGCCCACGGTGACAAGCTTTTCGTTCATCTTCAGTTTCCCTCCTCCAAAGCCGAAAGGCACTTCAGCCAAACTATCCACGCTGAGCCCGGCTCGTTCAACCACGATTCTTTCATCGAGATCTCCCCATACACCCCTCTCCCATAAACTTACAACACCATCACTTTGACCAACAAGGACTTTCTCGCCCACGCTAGTCCCCCCCTTTTTGAGGCCCTGGACCATGGCCAGACTCGTCAATTCGATCTCCTGATCTTCACTTGTCGCGATAGTCCCCTTACGAAGATCTGTCACTGAAAGTGTAGCGCCACCTACGCTGACCCACTGTTTGGAGAATCCACTTGTGCTGGTCTCACTCACGGGCAACGGAACAAGGGCATTTATATGTTCGTCACCGTGAGGTGTCCATGTTTGGCTGCACTGAGACACAATTTCCTTTCCGCCTTGTCTCAGGTCTTGCAGATATAATTTCCCAGAATCAGTGCCTAGCAGCAGGGCTTGCGGTGACAGGGCGTGCAGGACCGTCGGCCCATCAACACCTTCCAGTCCTACGCTTTGAGGCATTGCAATTTTGCTGACAACCTTGCCCGTGTCTGTGTAGAATGCTTTTACTAGACCATCCGTCCCTGCCGAATAGCATATTTCTCCATCATGGCTGAATGCAAGACATCGACATGACCCTTTGTGTCTCCTGGTGGTCCACAATGTACTGATTGAGCCGAGGCCGCTCTCGGAGAGGCTGGCAGTAGAAGCTCTGCGTAAGGAAGGTACTATTGAGCCATTGACGGAGTTCGTCGCTTTGTAAGGCGGCGAGGCACTGTCATCGGAGGTATCTTCAATGACTTCGGAGTCGGAGGGGAGCTTGTACGCGTGCACATGCCCTGAAGACAAGCCGATCGCGAACAATGGCTCGGTGGGATGGATGACTTGGGCAAAGACGTCGGACTGGACAGGGAGCGTACAGATGGTGTCGAACATGGTTTGAGTGACAATCAAGGCATGGTCGGGAAGGTGTTTCCCCCTGTCGGTGCGCAAAACTGCGTTGGCTGAAGCTTTCTTCAGTGACAGCGTCAAATTGGAGAATGAAAAAGTTGGAGAGAGCTAGGTCGCTGTGTTGAAAAAATCTCCCGGGCGCAGTTGGGCCATTGGAGGGTGCTCAAGGGTGCTCAAGGGTGCCTAGGCGCCTCTGGGCCAACAGGGTTTACTTGTTAGGTTGGTGGGCAGGTTCGGGCAGGTTTAGGGCATGTTTACCGAGAACCCTAATTAAACAGCGTCTCTAGTGAGCGCCGCGGCGCCTTACCACCCCGTGTCCTCCATTTGACACCAATCAATCAACGGACAAGAATATTTGGGCATGGTCGATCGTCTGGTACGGAGTATATTCGAATAGGTACATCATCTTCTACTCTTCCAAGCGTTCTTTACATCCATTATGCCCGCAGCAGACATTACTCAAGACAACTCCGACGCTCGAGTCGACGAAACAACCGCCTTACTTGCTCCGTCTGTTGACCAACCCACTTCCCGTGAGGATGACGATGATGACCCCGAGAATCAAGTCGCCAGTGGTACCAATGGTAAGGGAGAAGACCGGCCGCTGCCCAAGGATCAAATTCTTCTCCTCTGCTTCGCGCGCCTGGTCGAACCCGTCGCCTTCTTCTGCATCTTTCCTTTTGTCAATCAGATGATATGGGACACTGGAGAAGTTGCGGAAACAGATGTTGGGTTCTACAGTGGATTGATCGTGGGTCCATAATTTCCTGGATAACTCGCGAGTGCCGTTGACTGACATATGCACACAGGAATCGTTGTTTTCATTGACGCAAATGCTGCTCATGATTCCCTGGGGCAAAGCTGCCGACCACTTTGGAAGAAAACCGGTCCTCGTCGGGTCGTTGGGCGGCGTGGCTGTGGCAACCGCCGTCTTCGGACTGAGCAAGACGATATGGCAGATGATCGTGTTTCGATGCTTCGCTGGCCTCTTCGCCGGGACGATTGTGTAAGTTCATTCTGTTATAACTTCTAAGCACATGTCACTAAAGGCATGTGTGCAGGACCATTCGAACGATGATCACCGAGAACAGCACACACAAAACCCAGGCTAGAGCATTCAGCTTCTTCGCCTTCACTGGCAATCTAGGCATCTTTCTAGGTCCCTTGCTCGGTATGCTGCCTCCGTTACATGAAATACCAATCCGTCGCGGGCCTACTGACAACCTTGCCCAGGAGGCGCGCTCGCTAGTCCAGCGACGGAATATCCGTCTGTGTTTGGACATATCAAGTTCTTCCACGAGTACCCATATGCACTACCCACATTCGTGACAGGCTCGATCGGCCTGGTGGCAACGATCGCCAGCGCAATTGGTGTCAAAGAAGTGAGCTGATTTTCTCCCCTTTTAACATTGTTCCTCTGCCTGGAGTGG